CAACCAGCTGACATTTGAAAGAAGTTTCTCCCTCTGCGACTCATGTCAGTCCTTCGCAGTGGTTCCCATGATCCAAACCAATCCAAACTCCTCCATGATGAGAGCCCAATTGTCGCTGGCTCATGAATGATCTTCAGCGTTCGACGTCCGTTAATTTCTACAGTTTCTTTCTATATTTAAAGGACTAATATTTCAGTTCAGTCACTTCAGCCACACACTATCCGAATAATTTTGATAGAGGGCACTGACGTGTATAACTTACGATTAAAATGGCATTTTACTTCATGGGGGTTACCTTTTTAAGAAGTTGTTTTTGTTGTTTTCGTGGCTAACTCAGATTAAACTAAATTATGCTGAAGCAAAATTAATGATGTGTAAAAAATTTGGACCAAAGTTCTTGACATTTGCTTCTTGACAAGTGTCCAAATAGTTTTGGGAGTGACTGTACTTAGAACAAAAACACAACATATTTAGGCATCTGATACCACTTACTTTACCCAAGAGAACTTTCCATTGAAGAACTGCACAAAATGCAAGTCAGGAGCTTAAATAATGCACGGAAAAACTTAGGTCAGCACCGGTATACATTAAATTATTACATACATTAAATCTCCAACAATGCGTTTGTCAACTAATGCTTCAAAATGGATTCCTATGTATGATTTCCTATGATACTGCTAGATGCATGACCTTCACATGCTTCTGTGAACAATAAAGGATCAGAAATCACACAGTCATTCCCCCATTTTCCCCTCGTATGTGAATATTAAATGTATTTTCAAAATATTTTTCAATTGGTGTCCCCGAGTGTGGAAAAAAAAAATTATCAAATCAATATGAAATATTGTAAAGAGCCAAATTCTAAATTACGAGAAAATTCCAAGAGACAATAAACTACAATATCTGAGCACATGATACGTACACTAAATCTCTCATCATATTTGCGTAAACGTGGATATCAAATATTGTACAATTTGTCAGCACAAGGAAAATGCCAATGTAAATTAATTATTACATTCCAATGCATTTTATAACCAATATATTTCAAATAAACAGACTCTCAGAGGTGATATACAGGAATAAAATTGAAAATATAAGCACATTTAAATCTTTCAAATTCTACAGAAATACAATGATGCAAGTATACTAAAATGCTACTGTATCATTTATTAACACATTGAGTCAATATATTCATTTCATTAACTGAAAATAATTACATCAACTTTCTAGATGCTAAAGAAACTGTATGCCCCATCTTACAGATAAAGACCATTCAGAACATAACATCCACAGCACTGGAAATTTCTTAAACCTGTGAACCATGTGCCTGCATAAATAACTAAATTCAATATAAAAACATTAGACAAAACTAAAAACAAAAAACATGCGATTGGAAGAAAATGAAGTGCATTAGAAATCTGACATTTGGAAAAAATTTTTAGTAGCCATGATTTCTAAGCATTTTATGCAACTCTGACATTTTAGATATTTTGCTGTAAAACTGGGCTGCATAAATTTAGAATTAAACAATCTTTTTCATCATTCTCATTCCACCATTAGCAGTCACTTTTCTTCTTTTTTTCCATTGACACTAAAACTACAATCTCAAGCTAAAGATACAAGGTGTATGAAGATTTTGGCCCTGCGGACTATCTCTCCATACATAACATTAGGGTGAAGATGATTAACAATTGCATAGAATGTTATTTGAAGTGCTCAAAAAATGCAACAAGCCTATTGAAAATTAATATTTTACCGGACGGAATCATGTGTCGAGTCAAATTTATATAAAACTGGAACGGACACAAAAGGAGATTGAAATTTCTTTTTTCACCAAAAAATACTGATAGTTTCTTTCTTCTTAAATGGTTAAAGAACAACTTTGATGCTTGCAGGGATAACGTCATGGATTCAGCAGTAATCCCTGTGTCCCTCTGCAACTATTTATACTAACAAGTATTTATAATTTTATTATAAAACACTGGCTTCAGGCTTCAATCATGCACAAGCACTAGAATTAATGTTTAAAAATTGACACTTTTTAAATTATATTGCACAAATAAAAAAAATGGGGATGATTAATTCAATAACCATGTCAGTTCCAAATGTGAAATACATTACAAGAAAGTTCATTTGCATAATGAAAACAAAAATGAAGCACCCACACTTTAGTAACAAAAATAATATTAATAAAAAGAAACAAAAAGATATCTACACTATCTTAGCACGTATTTCCAGATTCAGAAGAAAATGTACGCAATTTAAATGTAGGAATGTGGAGGAGAAAAGATGCAAAAAGAGTCACACATGTACACATTGCCAAACATCCAACTATCAGTATATGATATACAACACTGTTTCATTATATTGGTAGTTGAAGACAACCGTTTTCAAATGTTATCAGTGCATCTTAAACAACATTGGGAATATGCACTTATATTGGATACAAATGAATAATGCTTAATGGGTTTTTGAATCTAAAATTAAAATTTGAAACCGGTGTCTAAGAAAGCCATCATAGATAATTTTGGTATTTTCTCTTGAGGCAGAAGGAATTCCACGAAAGAAAAGATCCACCAGTTATCTTCAGAATTGTTGGATCAAACAAAAAAAATCTTGAACCTTATAGATATGATTAAAAAATTACATCTTTGATTATGCAGGTCCATTACACAGTCCAAAAGGACAGGAATCAATAAATACATATACAAGTATGCAGAAATCATTTACTACTCATTAAACACATTGGGTTGCCAAAGAAGTGAAATAGTTGGTAAGAGTAGACGTCCTTATTGCTCAGTCCACGGTATTACCTCCCTAACATTCAAAGAAAACTAACAACAAAACAGACTTTTTACTGATAAGAGAGAGAGAGAGAGAGAGAGAGAGAGAAAATGTAATTAAGTTCCATTCAAATGAGAGTCAAGTATTAAGAACAGAATTAAAACCAAAATTTTGCAATTTCCTTTTGTTTATATATCAAAGAACTTTACTTCTAGCCTCAGTTAACTTCTAGCTTCAAGTATCAAATATTTTTACGGGTAAAACAGAAATAAAATGTTTTTTTCTTCCATTTTCATAAAATTCATTGGGTAATTGGACCCTTCCACAAAAGACCAGAGGAATCTTGATCTAATTACTTCATGAATATAATTAATTTCATTACTTTTAAATTAAATAAATGTAATTCTAGAAAATGGCAACACATTTCGTTGCAATTTTCATTATGCACTTCAATATTAAAAATATTACAAAATGAAATTAATGTTTGTAAGAAACAGTGGAAGTGTTTTAACATGAAGTTAAAAATTTTACAAACCTAATCATAGGCAAACATACAAGATAACTGGCAGTAATATACATGTACATCAAAGGTGATTTTCCTCAAAATGGTTATCCAGAAATTTCATATCATTTCCATCCACTGTAGTTGAGATACAAAATCATTGATGGACAAACTCAGGCAGAGACTATACATTGCTTGTTTGGTTTCATTATGAAAAATTTACAATTGTGAAGCATAATACAAATGAATTTTTTCTTTGGACGTCATTTCAGTTTTACAACAGTCCAATTGCTGTCTTCTTTGCTATTTGATCACAGTGCTCTCTTTAACATAAACATTTTTGTAGATGTTCACATTCTTATTGTATTCATTGTATATTGACTACCCTACCAACACATTTGAATGTGACAAGACTACAAAAAAATAATGCAAATGACAATCATTCCTATTGTTATTTCCAAACAACAAATAATTTGTAGTAGGGGCATTATGTCACAATGAAAGTGGATAAGCTCTGAAGCACACTGGGCAATATTTTGCAACAATAAGAGAAAACATACAATTGGAAAAGGTGTTCAGACTCAGGTCTATTACAAGATGTAGGAATAAAAACGAAGCAGTACATGAAATTTCCTAACTTGTTTCATTATTAACAATTAAAACCACAACAGAGTTGAATAAAGGATTTTGTATAATGAAAATACCTCCATTGCTGCCACAAACACTTCTAAATATATTTATATACAATTCCATGCAAGTTTTCAAAACGCAAAGAAGAGAAATATATTACATTACTCCATTATCAAAATCCTATTAAATCCCACATAGTGGATACTGAATAGCTGTGACATGTGATGTAATCTATTGGTGCTTATGGACTGCCAATTAACATATTCAGCAAAAGCTCCTGTGTACAAAAACATGGAAGAACTGTAGCAAAACATTTTGCGCCAATCACATACGTGATAATGTATTTTAATTTTCCTCCTTTACAAAGGAGAGAGAAGTAAATGAACATAAGCATTTCCACATTTTAGACTATCAGTAGAGATAATACAGATTCCACAAACAATCAAAACTGATGCATAGTATGGGCAATGATATAATTCAGACTTTATTAAATTAGAAAATAAGAAGATCTGAAATTGAATTACAAACACTAGATCAACCAACTTCTTGCAGCACCATCACAAATACAATTCTCAAATGTGCATTTGTTCCCTTTAATTTTGAGATATGCTTCCTTGGCAACCACCAAACAGAACACTATCAAATCACAATTTTGCTTCTCACAACCTTTCTCACTTACATCTTACATTTCATCCATTCACATTCTCAAAAATACTGAAAATCTTACACAGGAGAAAGAGAACAATTAATACACCTTCAAAACAGAACATAGCAATACATGTGAGAATAAGAGAATGCAACCGACAATTGAGCCTTAAGTGGCTAAACATACACTTCAGTTTGCTTCATGATTCTTATTACACGTGTCCACAGCATTTCCAAAAAGAGTTAACAAAACATCACACAATAGTAAGGGCAATTTGGAATGTGGAATGCTTTTGAGAGACATCCACAGCATTTACATGTACACACACATGCATGCATAAAAGAATAAAGTCCTCAAGGAAATTCCAACCCATTTATAAATGCAATTGCTTGCACAGCATCAAGTGGCCTCTCATGCAATGAACAATACTTCTCAATTAACAAGTGCTACTTCTGGTGTTGGAGCAAATTATTTTATATGCAGCAACAATTTTCTGTCAACTGTTCTCCCCCACTGATACCACATTATTTGACTTTTCATAGTGAGATCAGAAAGTGTCAAAGCAATGAATCTCATGAACAGAGATCTCACCATTTAGTATTCCATCAGTGAAGATGTAGGCTTCCACAGACAGTCAATGGATTGATAGTTGACCGTGCAGGAAATAGTGTCATCCTAGGCATGGTTGCCAACACTTCAATCTACTTACTGCAACCTTCTTTAGAGTGAAATGCATTAGCAGATCTTTTCCGAATATGAACCCCAAATTCAATATTCTATCACTTTTCTCTGTACAACATGCTAGCCCAAAAAGGGTCCACATTAAATAGATTAAACTATTAGAAAAATTTTTTAAGAATCCAAAAAACAAATAGGCTTGTTTCATAAACATACAGAAATTTTATTTCTTACCCATCATTCACAAACAAACTGAAATTTCAGTATCAGTATTTGTTAATTAGTTTGAACTTGATAAAATCCTTACTTTAAATGATCCGAGCGTTAAATCAAAAATTCAAATTAAACTAACATTTCAAACCAGCTTAATAAAAATATCAAGAGTAACACACTGTCTTTCAAAATAAAAAAAGAAAGAACCCACTGAATAATTGTCTTCAAAAATTAGCTGTTAGTCAGGCACATATCAGACTTATTTCCCTCTCTCACATTATCAAAACTGAATGCCAGACATAATTCTGTGACTGAGCAGTAGCCGTTGTTAATTTTTTTTTGCAGCTAAAATTATTAATTACTCAAATAAATAATTAATGTTTTGTGACTCATTGTTTGATATTTTGACCATCACCAATCTAACATGTGGTGAGCAGCATAAAAGAATTGATCAGAAAAAATACTTTGGATTTAGCAAAGCAAAGCAAAAAATTTAGACATGATTTTCTGAAAAAATTGTTCTGCACAGGAAAAAAAATACCTAAGTAACTAAGGTAACAAGATTAGATATGTAAAAAGCACAATATAAACCTGAATTGCAAATGCTCTAGAACAGATTCTGAATGAATTATGCATAATTTACACAGAATAGACTTTGTGATTCTTTTTCACCAATGTACCAATTGTCTGTGGAGTGTATGGTAACTGTTCATAATGTTTTTTGAGCAGTAGGATTCACATTACCTTGTCTTGTGTGACAAAAATTGTGTGTTCTGAATTAATCTTATCACTATATTTGTGTGTGTGTGTTCATTAATATTTTTTTTAATTTTCACAGTTGCTATAAGAATTCATTGAAAAGCTTGATTCCCATTTTCCTGAACCATTTACTTAGATATACAAATTTCATGTGAAGTAAACTGAATCATTTTCCTATCCCTCGACAGAAACAACCACTTGAAACATAACGGAGTAGAAACTACAAGAAATGACATACTAATATCATTTCAATCACTATTTACGCAAAGAAAGATTCTCTTTTGAAAACCTTTTAATAAAAATTCACAATTCGTGGAAATGCAAGCCATTTTCTTACATAATTAATGCCCTTTTTATTGAACAGTTGACAAATAATCTCAAAAACTTCTAATCAAATTTAAGTCTCGGAAAAAGTAATAAGCAAGAAATTTACTCCACTAAACTGAATTTCAAAAGCTTTATTTCCTACCTTTATATATGGATTACAAGCCACTTGATGTTGCCTATTATAGCATCAACTGCATTCAAATGAGAAATGATTGAAGTTGTCTGTTGTCTATATTGATATTATCCAAATTTTTGGACTATGTTACCACATATTAAATTAATTTTGCAACAGGAGAAACACAAGCAGATGTTAGACTATTGCAAATTTAAAGTTGCTACAATTTTTTACATTCTCAAACCTGGCAACTCAAAGAAGAGCAGCCAAGACATTTGAGTGAGAAACATGCAGTTTTATCAACAGAAAATAAGCAATTAACAAAAATTGGATTCTTTTTGGTGAGTAACACACACAGCAAAATCATTATATGATAAAACCTACAGAAACTAAAAACAAATGGTCCCTCATCATACAACTATGTTAAAATCGTATCACAGAATTGGTATAGATTCAACATTCAATTTTGCTAGGATCTAAACAACTAAAAAATCTTTTACTTAAGTCTACCCGCCAATATATCGAACTACGAGCACCAGTTTAAGTTTCTAATTTAATTACAAGTGTAATCTCAATGTATAAAGCACACTAGAGAAGGGAAAGCTCAAACAATACAATATCTGGAGTTCATTGTATAAAGATGATCAAAGCATTAACAGTGAATAAAAAGTTTTTTCACACCCCTGTTCATTGCAAAGGAAGCAATAACAACATGACTAACTGACGGGCAAACTATTTTAAAAGCACAGTAGGTTCAAATTGTCAATGACTTTGTAGTTCAGCAAAACAAATATACAAAATACTACCACAGATAAATATAATTTTTGTGAAATATCAAAAATATGCACAGAAAAAAGTACTTGAGATTTTTTCCCTTTCATTTTTTTTCTTGATGGACATCATAAGAACAGATTTTCTTAAACCATGCCATGCATACTGTGATAAAACATCAGAAGAACTATAAATCTGGAAACTTTTAAAAATATGTAATGGGAAGGCTCAAAATAAATACAATTAGCAAGATCTGTATTTTCCACACAGACCAGGAAACAAGCACATAAAATATGATATGCTAGAAGTTAAAGTAATTTGTTTACAGATCTAATTGTAAAAGAAATTTCATGCAAGAAACGATTGGCTTTTGGTGAGAATTGCAAGAATTCATTCTAGTTTTGTCTTTTTAGTTTTTTGTTATTTTTTTGGTGTTTTTTTTTCACCCCAGAGGCAAGTGCACATTTTCTGCAAAACTTTTCTCGTGAACCATAATTACTAGCGCAATGATATGTCTGCACCTTGGACGATCACTGAGGAATGTCAAAGCATCCAGATGACAAAATTACTAAACAATACATCCATTAAGTATTTTCTCTTATTGAATTCAGACTTACAGGGGATGGAAGATTAATCCAATCTTCATACCCTTTACAACCGACATATCTTTATCTTGAAAATTACTTCCACTGAAAACCCATTTATTACTTTAATTAGTTACTAAAAACAAAATAGAATATATGAATTAGTTTGCATTATTTTTATCATGCTTTTACGATTTTCTATTTCAGGTCTACTTTCATAAGGCTTAGATCATCACATATTTTGTTGAAATTTTTTTTTTTTACAAAGATGCACGAAAAAAGTAATTCTTTAATGCAACATCCAATTTTACTCATTACAATGCAGTCAGGATCAAATCTGTGCCCATATTTCTACAAATGACAATACCAATCTTAAGAAATTTACAACTGGCAAGCAGAGAGAGAAATTAACCATAATTTATGTTTTTTCAAGCCCCCAATAAACTTTTTGGGGCTAATTTTCACCACCACAGGGTTGCGCTCTCCCCATCTCATTATACAAATTTCAACATCATTTAATACAGTATTTAGAAAGTCCACCATACCTACACTTCTGTCTTCAGAATAACAACCTCCTCTGCCTTGCAGTACCTTCTATATTCCTCATGCTGATTCCTCTTATAATTTATTAACAACAGCTCTCAAATGTACAATGTCTTTTTTCAAGAATCTTTTTTAGAAAATCCCAAAATAGTTTTTGGTCTTGTATGGGTAAATAAATCTGTCCTAATTATAACATAATATAAATTTTGATACAGTTGAATTGTATTGTGTATGAAAATTACATATTCTTTTATTAAGCTTCTCTCATACTGAATTCTTGACTTCTTGGGCATTCTGTACAATTCTGTGAAGGCTAGCACAATGTATTCATTGTACAAATCGAAGGTAAGTAGTAAAATATAAGACAAGGGAAAAATCTACTCTAATAATAAAAGAAGTCCCTCAAAGTTTAAAGCTTCAAGTAATATTGCTTTATGATTTAAAATGCTAGTAATGCAACACTCACGGTAACACTCACAAAGCTGCCTCCTCTACCTTTCACAATTTTTTTCATAACATCATGATCTATCCCACTCATCATGCCACACATTTTTTCATTCCCTCCTCCTCTCTCTCTCTCTCTCTCTCTCACTCTCTCTCTCTCTCTGTCTCTCACACACACACACACACACACACACACACACACACACACACACACGCGCACACAATAATAAAGCACCCTTACAATTCATAAAATATTTAAAGGAAGATGGATTGCACAAGACAATTCTATTCAGGCAATCTGGTTCACAGAAAAATTAATATCAGATTGTCAAAGGCATACCTGCGCATTGATAGAACCTAATCTGTTATTAATCAACATATTCAAATATTCCATCCTGCAAATTAAAACTTTAACACTAATACTTTTGTTAATAATTTTAACTGTCGTGTGTAACTGACAATGTGTTAATGTGAAATAAAAACCAATAGATTTAAGTAAATTGTGGCACTAGCACAACACATGCTGACAACACACTAACGAACCACCAACTCCTCAAAATTTAAAATGACAAGAATTTCATAGCAATAAAACGTCACTATAATATCATTCGCAAAATAGTACCGGTCACTTTCCCAATGAGATATTAAGTAGAACTAGCATAAATTATCACAACGGTCCTAAATTCTACCCACTGTCACATTTTATGAAAATAAAGTCAAAGTAGACCACTACATTGGCGTGAATTTCTGGTGTTGACTCAAGCAAACACTAGAGCAAGAAGCCAATCTTAAGTGATTTTTTAAGATCATGTAGTACCCTGCTTGCAGTTACAATTTATCACACAGAAATACATTCACATCACAGTTTCGAAGGAGCAAGAGCTCAAAAATTCACTACAACACATCAGTCTTCACCTTCCTCAATTAGCAATGACATTGCACATCCATATTTGCCAGCATGGCACTTCCTTCCTCAACATCCTAGTTCGTCTCGTAACTAGTAAGCAAAGCAGCGTCAACTGGCTCCATACAAGAAGGGCAGGTGAAACTTCTCATCAACCAATCATCAATGCATTCAACGTGATAGGTGTGCATACAAGGCAGGTACCGAACAGGATCATTTATCATAAATTCTATCATACAAATAACACATCTGCAACAAAGAAAGACATATTTCATTACATCCACTAACTTATAAATCAAGACAAAACATGACGATTCTTTCCTTTGAACTTCCTACTTATTTAATTCTGTGGCACAAGATAAAATTTCAAGGACAATAAGTTTCCCTTATATTAGGTATCTATATCCCCATCCCTATCTATGATATTTTGTCAGGAGACCCTTCAAGCCTACAAAATATATTTTGGATCTATTTAATGAATTATATTATCATCAAATTTGAAATACATAACATAATTAAACTTACCACTTTTTCTAATTAAGGACTGTATTTGAAGGTCACATTCATTAATTTTAATACAAAATCTTTAAGGACACCTTCGCCTTAAAATATGAAAACCACATTCACTCAATTCAAACATGGCATAGTATTATTTTCCACGTTCTCCTAACATTACAAAAATAAAGCTGTGATGTGCAATATCTACAAATTTCCCCCAGACAGGGTTCTTTCAGTTGTGGCAAACAGTTTTTTGAAGTCTAAGTCTAGTGTTGTAAGGGCAAAGATTCGTAGAAATTGTTGAGCAAGAGCAAAACTACAAAAGCATAGTTTTGGTCACTCCTTAATTACAATAAATATATAATTAGTCTTACTGTCCTTGATAAACAGAACAAACTGTAACCACACAACAACAGAGTAACTTCAAATTATATGGATATTCTCATTAAAAGAGAGTGATGTAGCTGATCTTTCATATCACCACGAGTCACATTTAAACTGCTGTATCATTCATAGCACATATGAGGAAAATGGAAGGTACTATGGGACAGAAGGGTGTACTAAGACTACTCATTTGGAATAGGATTAGCACCTGGATGTTCCCAGGATGACCAAAACTGGTAGATCGCCAGCTGTGATACGGGTCAATCGAGAGCACTGAGGTAAAGTGACATTAAATAAAAACAAAATGTTAAAAAATTATTACATAACCCACACACATGAAGAAGAAACACCAATTTTCATTCATGTTTTAGATTCTTTTAACCAAGGTAAATCATATCAGTAATGTTCTTAAATAAATATTTTAAAGAGGTGTTTATATCACTGTTTTTATATAACTTCATTTTGGATTTTAACTTTTAAATCTATCTTCAGGTGAACTGTAAAATATGATACTTATTAAAATTATTACAGAATCGCAGATGAAAAAATAGAATAGCATAAAATTACATGAAAAGAGGCTCACCTTGGGGTACTTTATAAAATAAGGATTTCTAAATGATTTTCTTGCTGTAATTTACATCAACCTGTTGTTATTTTGCCACTGATTTTTTTACTCAGTGTTCTGAAGAAATTCCAAATATCACATTTAAGTTAATTTTAGAGTTTCAAAGATCATCTGTACAGTGCCATCACTCGCATTCTTTCACCATTAATTCTTATTATGGTTGCTATCAAAAGCCAGTCATCCCAAAATTTACTAAAATCTCCTCCCATCCCCAATTTTACTTAATTTTAGGAGTTTCTTTATAACCTCAAAGAGATACAGATTAAATCCAGTTTATTCCCACCCAGTGTGGCAAGAGAATCCCCCATTCAAATCAAACATGAGAAGACTTTTGTTACTCGTAAGGTTTGCAAATAGATTGTGGAATTGATAGCAAATGCCTCAGTTAATTTATTTCCCATCAATTACATTCATTTGAAGATATCTCACTTCAAAGGCTTGAATGTTGCACGTGTCAATGTAAACTAACTTTAAGGCCTCCCTGTCCATCATCATCTAATTGTTCTCGCACACTAGAAAACTGTGGACATTTTGTTACTTTTAATGTACAAATGCATTTCCGCCAGATTAATTTTTAAACTCAAGATTGAAAATTGCACAAAGTCAACTATTTATTATATTGCCATTACAATTTAAATCAAGTGTCTCCTTGAAGCCTCTTCAAATGCCTCAATTATGATGTAAATCAAGTGTCCCCTTTCAGCTTTGCAACTACAGCTAGAGCACTGCTGCTGCGCAATGATAAGTGTTGTTATAGAATGTGTAACCAATTTCTTTGATAATTCATACATAAATTCTAATTTGAGAACTTTAGTTCGAAGAGAAGTTTGTTAATAAATAAATAATAAATAACTAGGCAAATGACATAGCAGTACCATAACAACTAGGTCATGGACCACACACCATCTTTCCTTCCACTTCCTTAGCCTATCCTCAACTCTTTTACACACCCACCCACACCCACTACACTACACAATCACACATGCTAGAACACCAGTTGGGAGCTTAGATCTTGTCTCTGCTGGTGGGAGATTCCTAAGCATTTTTGGACATTGTGTGTTCACAATTTCCTTCCTATGCAGAAAATTCTAAAAAGGCTAACAGTAACTTGTAAGTTGCTGACATTTTTGGGTTGTTAAAGACAAGTGAACGGATGTTGAAGGATGATATATAATCAGGGGGAAAAACTGTCTATAGATCATTTTCAAAAGCAATTCTGCTGAACTGCGGGACACTTGAAAAAAAGTGATCATGCAACCACTGCAATGTATTTCAATGAGCCAAAGCCTTTCTTTGGCAGAGTGGAGTTCAGCAGGAAAAGTTTCTTCTGTTTCTTAGAGGTGACGCTCCGTAATTGGTAAAAGCATGGACTGCAATTAATGTAGGGAGCTGAACTTCATTTACCATGCCTTGCTCATGTCATGTTGCAGAAACTGAAATATCGATTTTCAGATATTGATCAATGGAAATAAACTGTGAAGCAGATCTTAAACATACTAAGCCATGAGGAAATTCTCAACCAATACCCAATCTACCTCTTCCTTCCTAGCCAGTTATCACACGGTTGGGTGGGCCTCCTTGGCTCAACACAGCCTAGTCCTATTCTAAGAAACTTTGGTTCATGAGTGTACGTCACAACTAGAGCCCAGATCTTTGGTAAAATACTTTTTACTATTATTACTCTTTCATAACTTTTGACAATTGGAAACAGTGAATTGTGCTTCTGACATAGTTTCAGTAGATTTTCATTTTGCCTTTTTTGCCTATTTTATCTTCTGATGCCCATTTTCGCCACCGACTTATTTTTGCATTTTTCTCACTTTCATGTCATTATTTTGCTTTATTTTTCTTCCTTTGTTTCTTTCCGCTTTTTTTCCCTTTCCTTTCCTTTTTTCTCCTGACAGATTTCAACCAAGCTAGTATCATACCTGGCAGCCTAGGCAACACAAAGGCATGATTGTATTTAGTCTTTGTGTGGAAGCAGGTGTTAAAAAATATTTTTGATATTTTTTCATTATTGCCAACAGGCTGTAATCACTCAAAGAATCCCAACCTACTTTGGAGTGTGGTTTAATCCCATTTGAGGACAGCTCTCTGGGCATGACATACTCTTGTGACTGAGTGATTACACAATTGCAAGAACGAAAAATATAATCCCGTTTTCACTATCGCCATTTCAAGATTCGAAAGGAAGTTCACAATATCATTTGGAAGTAAATTTTAGAGGAATAAAACTGAATTATTTTAATTGCTCTCTCTCACTCTCTCTCTCTCTCTCTCTTTTTTTTTTAAACGATAAATCTTTTGAATGATTCTCTCATCATTTACATGTGTTTTTGCATCCCTACCTTAAGCACGAATAAATGCATTTTTCAAGTCTATTTTAGTAAAAATACATATTTACCCAAGTATAAATCAACCCCCTAATTTTGAAGAGGCCTCCTGAGAATTTTTTAAAATTTTTTACTAATTCTTACTATTTAATCAAAATAAAATTACAAAACATCTTATTGATTAGAAAATTGCCTTGTCGATGAGAATGTTAAAACTTTGTTGCTGAACTCTAATTTCTGGTTCCTTAAGATCATTCTACTCAGGTTTTTTGTCACTTTCCTTATCATCTTCACATGTATCAATGTTTCTTTCTTTTTGGTCTCTTTCTTCCATGCTGTGCATCTAACATTTTAGCACCATCTAGAAAGTTTGCGCACTTAATTTGTGTTGCTTTCATCTGATGCCGTCTAAAAATATTTCTTTCTGTCGCTAGATTTTCTATCTATCTAGCATCCTGTATCTGTTCAAAACGCAGATTAGAAATCGCCATGCGTCAAACCCGCATCGTGAAACAAACTCTCAGCATTCATTTTCACGTTACATTTTATTTGACACAATGCCACTCAGTTAGAGGTTCTTTTCACCGGCCCATTCATAAATATTGGTCCGAACCACCAGGCAAATCAGGGTGGATGCCGATTATACAAACGCAAATACAATTACATATTGTAGATACACGCAATATTTTTACCATTTTACAGTTTACTGTTATATAAACATTTACAAGTTTTGTGTCATGCAATGGCAATGTAAAACCTTAAATTGTAATTGTAAACCTTAAATTGTAACCGAATAGGGTTAATCTACGAATATAGGATGACCTCGAATTTTTTCAACTGAGATATTTCAGAGAAAAAAAACAACAACCAACTTTGTATTATATTTGTGATAATATGGTAAATGCCTTTTTGCCTGCCTATTTTAGGTAAAATAAATACCTTAACTTCCAAGCTCTAGTCATAACATAAAAAAATGAACTTTACATTTCGTATGTTTCAACCTTCAGATGTTATTTACTTAAAATGGGTAGTTGCAAGGAATAAATTTGAAGAGCATAAAACAACAGAACTAATGTATACTAAGTTACAACACGCTCACCTGTAAGATCCTAGAAATAAAAAAATGTAGTACTTTCTCAGGAGACAGTTAAACCTCTCCAACTAACCACCCCTCTGAACAACTGTTTTTTCTTGACACTAACATTGAAACCCACATATTGTGTGCAATTTTTTCCCCGTTAACAGACCACCCCCTTAACAGTAATTTTTTTCAAATACTCCTCTAAAAATATCACTTTCAGAAAAAAACTCTGAATTTCCAGTTGTTAAAATTAAAATTTGTGATGCTGTACTGCAGCGTCAATCTCGAAGAAACCAGAGGGCGGGGCAGGGAATTGGCAGGTTGGGATCTGGGAATCAACTAACAATAAATCGTGGACATTGGTACAGTATCATGGTTGCTCGCTACGTTTTAATTGCCTTACTAATGAATACAAAAGTGATCTAACACTTAATTGTGTGGATTAAGTGGTAGCTTACCTTTCTGAAAGAAAATCTAGTGCAGTAGAATATCAATATCTGAAGTCAGGATTATAGACTTTTTGCGAAGAAGTGAGATATCTGCATTTTCTTGTGTAGTTTACACGACAGTCTGTGTCTTAGGAGCTCAAAATCTTACTTTTATCACACTATATACTCATAAAGGATTCCCTCTTAAGTGATCACTCCTCTAAATGACCACTTTCTTTCACTGAACCAACAGCGGTTGCTTAAATCCTGTTTCACTGTATATTCCATAATATATTTGGTTGGAACCTGTCTACTATTTATTTCTAATTGTATTTCCACAATAATTTATTATTGAAAGAAAGAAACTTTATCAGTAATTGGAACTTACAATATTATGCACTCTTAGTCAACATCAATGGTTCATAAACGAGCATTGCAGGAACAGTTGTTGAACAGAAATTTAATACAATATTTAGTATTTAAAATCTGTCTACACAGAACATATTTGTTGTTGTTCAATTTCATATGCTTTTTAACAGGGATCTGTATGACCTTGCTAGCAAATAATATTTTAATTTTTTTTCAGAAAATTTTGTTTTCAATGATATAAATCAGGAATTTGTCAGAGACATTTTTAAAAATCTAATATTTTTATAATCATTTTAAGAAAATGACACTTAATGTTTGACTCTACTGAATCAAGCAGAACCATTTACAATGCATTAATGGGAGAAAGATGTCCCTATCTTATACATGTTAATTTCATATTTTGGGTAAATAATTTAGAGTACTATTTCACTCAGAGTTAATTTTGATTTCATTCACTACTCAAACTCTGAATAATGATGATCAAAGCAAAAAAATGCAGGAGTAAAGGCTGATCAAAAGCAAAGGAGAGCATGTGATACAACATTTCCAGGAAATATGGTTATTGTATCAGATTAGTAAGGCAAATAAACACTCTGATTAGAGGTGTAGAATGTCCGGACACCCTGTTTGTGTCCCAAATTAAAACAGCAGTGAAGTATACATATTCAAACCAAATGTGCGACTTGCAGCATCTGTGCAGTAATGATGGTTTCCAAATGGTAATTTGGAATGGTTTGCATCCTACAAAAGAATATTCCTTCCTATTTGTACAAACCATCTTTGTACACTAGGTAGATACGGAGAAGAGACCTTAAATAACCCGTACCAAGTCAAAAATGGTCATGAATGTTTGTTCTCTATGCCATTGACATATTTTGCTGGTAAATAAACGATTTCTAATATTTATGGATCTTATTTCACGCTAAGTAGTAATTTTTGCAATTACACCATTTCAGGTTTCAATTGCAAAGGTCACCAAATAAATTTACATATTTACGCACATATTCCCCCTTTTTGTTGTGCATACATCGAAGGCCTCTAATGAACAATAACTTACTTTACTCCCAATGAACAATAACTGTACTGTAGCTCAATGAACTAACTTAATATCCTAACATGAACAATAACTTACTTACTCCTAATGAAACATAACTTACTTACTCCCTAATGACAATAACACTTTTACTACTGCCCTACTACTTCTACCTATGAACAATAACTTACTTACTCTAATTGAACAATAATTACTTACTCCCTAATGAACATAAACTTACTTACTCCCTACATCGAACAATAACTTACTACTCCTAATGAACAATAACTTACTTACTCCGCTAATGAACATAACTTACTTACTCCCTAATGAACAAGTAATTACTTACTCCCTAAATGAAAATAACTTACTTACTCCCTAATGAACAATGAACTTACTTACTCCCTAATGCAACAATAACTACTTTACTCCCTACTTATGAAACCAATAACTTACTTACTCCCTAATGAACAATAACTTACTCTATAACATCTTAAATTATATAAATGAAAAATGTTTAAGAAATGACATAATATGAGAAAATACGAGGGGAAAACGTTTTTAATTCATTAAGCGTAAGTTTTGTAGTAGAAGTAATAACAATATTAATTTTTCCTTACTCTCTGTTTTTTTTGCAACCATCATAAGTTCCGGTGGGAAGATGTTGAATCAAACCAATTCTTTTTGCAATTTTTACTTGTTCTTCTTCAGTGAGTTGAGTAACTGGGCGGCTTACATTTGGAGATGGGTAATAAACTGGCAAACTCTCCTGTAATAATAATAATAATAATAATAATAATAATAATAATAATAATAATAAAAAGTATATATACACATACAAATAGATATTTATTATTCCGAAGCAATACACTAGACGCAGTGAAAACGTTTGATCATATATTCCACAAAGTCACGGTCAATAAGATATTTAAGTTTTAATTTCTAATATAGACCATGTTTTATACAGATGCAGCACAAAAGCAAGGATACCACATTAGTTATATCCCATTTTCATTATCACCCCATAACACAAGAAAATGAACTAAATGAAGAAATATCTGTATCACAGTAATAAACATACCACTCTAAAACCAGTAAACCTCTCAAACAGCTATCAATTATAGAAGGCTCTTATCGGAAACAATTGGCAAAGCCCTATCTCCCCTATGTTAATTTGCATGAATACTTCACCCATTACCTCAACTATTGAACCTAGTAAGGTAACAGTTTAGGAGAAGCTTGGTGGGAATGTTCTAAATAAATATAAGCACACACCTTTGGAATAGTTTTTGAAATTTGCAGAATAGCTTAAGCACAAGTCAAAATTTATACATCATTTTTTCTGTACTTTTATGTAGAAATCACAATGTATAAAATTTACTGTACTCAATTTGCAACCATATATTCATTATTACATCATTGATTTCCTAAAAAAATTGAAAATTATCACTTGAAGAGTTTCAGAGACAACAAACGACAAATGTTTTTAAAAATGTAATTTTTCAAAAATCTGAGTCAAAGTAAATCCTTCACAAAACCAGTCACCTGATCATGGTAAGAAGTACACAATTCATGTTTGCTTTATAAATAGTCATAGAAAATAAAGTTTTAGTGAAAACCACAACCTCCTAGATGAATTCGTTCAAGAGATATAAAGTAAATTAGAGATATTCGTAACCAAAAGACTGCCATTTTGACATACACAAATGAAGGAAGACAATAACAAAAAATTGCTAAGAGTATTTCACAATGATGTTTATATCATTTTATTCACAAAACTCTAAATATTTAGAAAATTTAAAATCTCCAAAATTTTGAAAATTTGTATTTATACTTTTTTACTTCCTTTACAGCTACATATATAAGAAAGAAAAGGTTTAAGAGTAAAATAATAAAAAAAGAATAAAGTTTGTAAGTAAAAGTGCTTTAATTTATTAGACTTATTTTATGAATTTAAATTATTATTATTAGGAAATTTTTAATACATTACAGAACAAAGAACAAAGTGCAGAAATCCATGTAAATATTAACTGCACATGTGTATAACCACGTTCTTACTACCAAAATAATGACATTTAAATTAACATTAAAAAGTATATTTTGATGATGGAATAGTATTCCAATTAAATAATTTTAATCTATAATTAACAATTTCCCCCAACTTTCTATATAAAACAAGTTTTTAAAATATCACAATACCCATTACAGCCAAATTAGATGAAAATAACATTCCAAAATGTAGGTTACACTTACGAAGCAAAGGACACAAAGAAACTGGGCAAAATTAAGTTTTACACACGCATTATTCAGTCACTGTCATACTGTCAGAGTATAAAACAAAAAAAACACGGTATCAAAATTTCGAAACTTAAAACTGTCAACTTTGCTCCTTAGTAAATAATTGTCAGGGTTTTTAATAATTCAACTCTTGCGATAATATGAGGATAGAATCGATGTAGGAAGTGTTCTGTGATTAGAATGGAGGAACAATAAATGTTCCGACAAACATAAGCAAATGTATTTGTGAAAAGCATATTCTCATTCTTAGTAAGCAGTGAAACGCGTGTCGGCGCAGTCAAATGTGGTCTTCAAAGCTTATGTTTTGTAGGAAACATCTGACATGTATTTGACACATCCTGCATTGATGTTTACATTTGCTGTGTAATAAGTAATTACCTGATATGGTGGTGGCGGACCCAGCTGGTCAGACGAAGACGAGTCGCGAGTGCTATCACTGCCCCTTAACAAAGAAATATCATCAGCAGTAGAACCTTTCAGACAATTTCCCATCTTGTTTTACACTTTCACGCAACTTCGCACTCGTCGCCGCTGAAACAACCTCTAAGAGTCATTGAACAATGGAATAAGTAACCCACCACACACTAACATGCTAACATCCAATCTTGGCTTCAAGGGGACCTATACAGGACCTATACTCTTGCTTATAATTCCAAACTACGCGTCGCGCTCGAGAATGTAGTTCGCGGCAGTATTGAGTATGCTGAGAATTAAATAAACTTGTTTCAAGCGAATGAAAAAACGGAATAATGAACAGTACTGTCAAAATACTAGTTCGTACACCTGCATGTCAATACACGATTAACGCTCACAGGTGATACCAAGATGTAAATAAGCGCAATGATACACGTTACGGAAGAATAGCAATGCGATAAACGTAATTACATTTTGTATATGAATATGACACGCAATAATCCTTTACAAAGAAACGTTCAAATTTGTCACATTCCCTTGATCTTTCGTTGTTTTTTTTTTGGGGGGGGGGGATAACTCGGAAGTCTGCAAGTAATAAGACACTTAGTGATCAATCATTTGAGACTTGAATATTAGTCTACTTTTAACAACCCACAATTCTGCTCTGACGACTTCTCTACAAATTGAATCATAATATAAAACCCAGCATTATTTGATATGATTATTTTAACAAAACGTGTTGTTCTTTCTAATATGTCATGAATGAGGAAAGTAATTCTCTTACTTTTATAAATCATTTCCAACGTGTTTCTCGTTGGTTTTGTACCGTCTCTTATCATTTTTAACAGAACAAGTCTCACTGGTAATTTTCGCAATAATATTTGTATTCATTTCATTGTAATTAGTAGAGTAAATTTAAAAGCCTGCAACGCTCTAATTTGAAACTGCAAAAATACATTGCCTTGAGTTGAACATCGCACACTGGGACAGAAAGGGATCAAACCTGGCCAAAACCCCTGGAAACGTATTTACACAAATGCAGGGACGAGAATCATAACTAAAAGTCTAAGAATATATGATTAGACATATATAACATCACATATAATTTTTTGAATAGCAAATATTAAATTATTTTTTTACAATAATGTATTTCAATCTGAATCACCATCAACATTAGACGAATGTGTAAGGGACTCCCGATTTTCTGTAAAAGAGATGTTAATAGTCTCTTTCTACAAACCAAATGTCTTTTTTGCTAGGTTTTCCAAAATTAACATAGAGGAATCAGAAGCAAATAATTGGTTATTTATTAGGCCATCTATTGTAGATTTCCGGTTACACTATTGGAGTAATGACGACGGCATATTTTCATGTTTTTGGGCAGCGACTTCTGGGCCTCTTCAACAAATTGTCCATAACTTGTTAATACCTTGTGATCTGTGAATCAAAATTTTATGTAAAATCACTGGCATGTATTACCATGAATACATTTTTACCAAAAGTCGAGCCGTTTCTGTCGAGTATGTATCGAAAACTTGAACATTGATTGCATGGTCATATGAAAAGACCGGCCGAATAACTGCCCACCTCTTAAACACATTTGATCCTGACAAAAACATCTATCTTCAATACTTTAATTACAGGAAGGCGCTGAAAAAAAATTAAACTTTGACAATTTTTCGAAAAATCAGGTATTTTAACGAAAATGAGACCCTGCACTATTCTCTTAAAGGTCGTTCACACTATCCAACCACAAAATTTAATAAAAAAAACGTTGGAGCCTTTTTTAACAAAATTGGAAAATGTTCCAGGGGATCCATGAACATTATCCCCTAAATAAAAATATCGGTTTCAAATTCAAGGTGCCGTGACATCAATCAGTTCGACTGGGGAATATCAATTTTGGACATAATCATCTGAACGGTTTAGCCGCTAGTAATGTTCACAAGTGGACTGACATATTGCCTTCAATCGATTTTTCACTATCAATGAACCACAAAACAAGTATTCTGTCTACACCACGTGTTAGAGGAATTTGTTTCTAAATTTAGAAACTGGATTTAACCACTTTTTCATTAGCAGGGCCCGGTAATAAGATTCTGACGAAAATTAGCCGTGAACCAATTACCAAATATTATTTCATCGACTGAATTTATTAAATATGGGACAGGGAGTCCAATACAGGGGAGAGGAATCTTGTTGGTTGCATGTAAGAGTAAAAACAATGCAAAGAAAACATTTATTAACAAAATTACTACGAATAATTACTCTATGGTGATCACCATTTATCATTTTACAAAAACATATCGGTTTAATCATGACCGTACATTACTCTATTGGAATGTTACACGAATCCTCGTTGTTGAAGGTTGTTGGGTTGTTGAGCAGAGGCCTCCAGGGCTGCCCCCACTCCAACCGTCATCCCCTCTCCGGAACTTCGGCTTCGTCCAGTGGCACTCGGTACCTTTCGGAGCCGCCTGAAGTAGAGATGATGTAACACTTTCACTGCCGGTGGCGCGTCTGATTTTGAATTCCCCCACAACTCGCAATACAATTATTCGTCTATACTGTAACCCCACGAGTGTCTGTCTGGAACGGGAATTTCAATAATAATCGTCAAAACATTTGAATTAACAAACACTTACTAAAAAAATTGATGATGATGAATTACTATTATATTACAATTATTAATAAATAAAAAAGAAAACGACCCTTTCTTTTATGAGGACATGGTCATCTATTTAAATTAATACAATGAAAAACAACGGGTCGTCATGGCTACTCGTGCTGAAGGCACCCTCTTTCCCCTCTCGCTTCGCTCATCAAGTGTTCGACCGCATTTATGCGGGAGCTAAGCGGATTATTTACCCTCGTTTTCTGAAGGCGGGCCTCATGACAAGCCCGGTGGTGTAGTCGACCCTGTTCCGGTTCGGGCCGCCCCCTTCCAGGCAGAGGCGGTGAACACAGTGAACACAGGAGCTCCCAGTGTGGCCGCTTGATGTCGCCGCGCTTCCCGCGGGACCGACACAATCACACGGGAACTCTTTCTTAAACGGCCAGAATGTCCGTTGCTGTTGTAAAAAACTATCGGCCTGTTTTCTTCGCACCCGCACGTGCGCCGCTGACCGTTTGGTTGTAAATTCTTCCCCCGAGAAGGCGCACTCAGCGTTGGGGTTCATTTTACGAGCGGTCGCTTGAATAGGCGGCACCCACTTGACATTTGGCGCGGGGGTGTCCTGCCATAAACTTTTATAGAACCCTTGTCTCAATAGACGAACGGGCGCGAATGCCTACGACCCCCCTTTCTCGCAGCTGCGTCGCGGGCGTCTGCTATTTTTTCCCATTTTTTCTCATGGAAATTTCCCAACGCAGGAGCTTGTACCGTTACAATACGGGTAGGGAAGAACTCCAAATAATAAGAACGTCATCACCTGGTTCATCACCACTGCTGCTCCTCACTCAATAATACTGTCTCTTAACGCCACGTGGCTGTTACTACTAACCAGGACCTATTCTCTCTATGTACTACGCTATTACTATTGTACTGGCCCATTCCCTACATAAATTACAATTGTACCTCATGCCATTACCTTTCACCTTACGCATTCCTATTTCCAATCACTTTCGCTTTACTTAATGTCTCGACATAACCTTTCACCAACTCGTTATCTGCCTTCCGCTCACCACCAGATTCTACCCGTTTCTGCCTGTTCTCTGCCGCCAACGAACTTCTCGCTACTTCCCGCAGTGAGCGAGCGGACGACCCGTTCTTTCCGCCTCAAATTTTGCTGTTTATACGAATCATTTTGGAAAGTCAGTAAGATTATTTTGAATTACACTCAGTATATGGCTATCGCAACATAATGAAAATGACAACACTCGCGATTTCACTTTACAGTTTTTGTTTGACCATGGAACTAAAGCTAGCTGTACTATATATAATGTAGATGACATTCTTACAGTCTAATCTTTCAAAAAAAGCATGAAATAAGTCCTTTTTTGATACAAGATAAAAAGCCCCAGACATTCCACGTATTGAAATGATAAAAACAACAAAATATATATTGTGGCGTTATGGGATTCTGCAACCCCATAGCACCGCCGGCTCGTATGTGTGAACACTACGGTAGCAGCAAGGATGACAGGCGTGTGGGGCAGAGGTGCTTAAACGCGCGGCCTGGTATCCGTTGCCCGTACTAAACGAAGGCGAATTTGCAAGCGATGTTTTCCTTGTGAAGGGTTGAGAGGGGAGGCAGCCCCACCACTGAGAATTTCCCTAGGCGTCGCGCGATAAATACGCAAACCCGCAAGCGGAAGCTCTTTTACCACCGATCGCCGAGCCAGTAGCATTCTGATCATCGCTCGCCGAGCCAACCCTTTCGTTAACATTAGTTTAGATATTGTTTGCCTCTGCAACGACTACTAGGTACTCGTAGGAGTATTCGGCGTCGAACAGACGTTCTAGTCAGTCGTCCACGAGATAGTGCACATTCAGTAGTGTTTCTTCAATTAATGACACGAGAAGTAAAAGTTACCGGTTCTGAGAGAAGCATTGAAAGTTCTGGCTTAGCAAAGTAGAAGTAGCAACGAGCGAGGAACTTGCACGAGTATTCAGTGAAGTGCAAGGAACATTTTCGCAACGAGGGCGTAGTCAGAGGCGCCGATAGCAGAGGAGGTAGAAGATAACGGACGGACTCAGGCGCACGAGGAAGAAGACGGAACGGCTGGGAGGAAGAACGGAAGAGGACGCAAGAAGGCAACGCAGACGGCAGAGGCGAATCCCGTCTCTTTACGACGCAGAAGCTGGGATCGAGCGACGTCGACGCAGAGATCAGCGCACGACCGTCAAGGCCAAAAGTGGGAAGTCCACGAGGTAACAGTTAGTCGCGGAAAATAGGTCAAGTTCACGTCTGCAGGGAAAAACTAGTATAGGAAAGTGTTAAGAATTTGAGGACACGGGTGGCAACAAATTGCAGTATTATAGTAGGAGACATTTGGATGCGCTATTGCCTGCATAAAACATTCTACTGTGGACATTTATTATTCTGCTATTTTCAGACACAGTTGAATTGTAAATAAGAGTAGTGCACTTGCACACATTTTATTCTTTGCATGTAATATTTTGAAGCAGGAGATTGTAAATTGAAATTTTGGTTTCATGTGCTATGTAATAAGGATAGCATAAATTTAGATATAATTAATTTTCCAAGGGAATTCCGAGTGTAGATTAGGGTAATTATTTCAGAGTATCAATTTTGGAGTAAATTATGTGTTCATTCATATGAGTGTGTGTTGTAAAGGTTTCTATTTGTGTTTTGATCATTCTTTGTAAAAGTGTGATTCTATATTCTCGGTTTTTGTCATGAACTGATGCCACTAAAAGTTTATGGTAT